CTATGTATTTACTTATATATGTAAATATAACTATTTATATACAATACATACTTACATACAGTTGTTTATATATATATATATATATATATATATATATATATATATATATATATAAAGAGAGATAATTAACTTTTATAAAAAACTCTATATGTTTCTCTGTAGCTTGTGTTTAAGTATATACAAAGATATAAATATCTATGTATAGTAAATGAATATATATATATATATATATATATATATATGAAGGAATGAGAGTGAGAGATAGAACAAATGTTAACAAAACTGGCTGTTTTTGATGGATCTATGTCCAAAATCTTTGTTTTTTGATTCCAGGATCAGTATCAGAAAGAAAGCTATATATATATATATATATATATATATATATATATATATATATATATATGAAAACACTAAATGACAATGTATGTGGGCTGCATCGGAATCAGACAGCGGATGGAGCAAAAAAAAAAAAAAAGTGGCAGCAATACACAGGAACAAGAAAAGAGTGTGGTGGAAGCAGGATTATATCATATACATGTATTTGTGCAGCAAGGGAGATACATGCAATGTCTGTCCCAAACAGAATCTGGCTTAAATAATTATTATCATTACATTATTCGAGGATGCCATAGGCACCATTGCCAGTAACCAATCTAATAGTCTGTCGGACACAATTTGGAATTGTAAAGATCCCCTATACTCCCTGAAGACACTGGAATACAATTTGCAGCCATTCCAGCCAACAAGATACCTGGTGGACTACAAAGTATAATTATGAGAGCTCAGATGATACAACACCATTTTGGTTATAGGAATGGGTTGAGGAAACTCAGGTCAGAGTGTGGGGGCCGAGGAGAAAAAGGGAACAAGATGTAAATGGAGAAAGTCAAAGAAAATTAATAAGCATACAATAAAAAATATATTTATGGAAAAATATAAGAAATGATATAAGAAAGAAAAGTCTAAGAAAAAGAAAACGACTTTTAACCAGAAGAAAAAAATATTAGTTTCTTGCGGTCTATTTTTCTAAAAACAGCAAACCTATTAGAGATGCATATACATTTATTTACCTATTTATTTCTGTATCATTTTGTTTAGTGTCTTTGTGTTTGGGGTAAGCAGCACATATAAATAGATAAGTGTTTGCTTAAAAGGAAGGATTCAATAAGGGAAAACTCATAAAAATTGAATATATATATATATATATATATATATATCTAAAATAATGTCTCCATTATTTTTGTTTCTAAATTTCCTTACTTTTATAATTCAAGTGATTTTATGAAAATGATTATTATTTTTTTTGTTCTTGTTTTAACCTAGAATATAATTTAAATACAACCCCTGGTGTAATAATCTGTTAAGTTGTTATGTTTTGTGTGTAGATAGAAGCAAACCCTCACATCTGTGTTATTTATACTGTCTTTCAATTATTATTAACAATACAAGGTGATTGCCTTGTTTCAATATAAATTTTATATTTATCAATATTTCATAGTGTCATTTGGACCAAGAGTAGAAAACAATAGAAAAAAATAACTTTCAAATGAAAAAAATATACCACATCATCTATTTTTCTTTTCTTTTTATATCTGGATTAAAATCTGAAGGTACATTAGATTAACAAAAGATGCTTTCAAAAAGTTAAACAAAGTATTAAGAAACAGGGAAATTTCATTAGAAACAAAGAAAAAACTGTTGAATGGTTATGCAATATCAATCCTCCTATATGGTAATGGATACTGAAAAATCTTCTCACAGATGAATCGAAGACTTGCGCCAACAGAGAAGTTATTCTACAGAACAATACTGAGAATACCATATACAGTGCAACCTCAGTTCTTGAACATCTCACATGTCAAACAAATTGGTTTTCAAACAGAAAATTTGAGATAAAAATGCCTCAATTATCAAACAAAATTTTGGTTATCGAATGATATTTCTGAATTGAGTTAACCGAAACAGAATAATTTCTAAGTCGAATGCCATATTGTATACATTCGTGTGTTGTGTTGCACTTTTTTTTCCAATTTTATTGTACTGTAACTTTTTTCTCTACATTGATTCCTGTTGAAAAAATAGTTTCGGTTTACAAACATTTCCGGTTATGAACAGCCTTCAGGTATGAATTAAATTCATGAACCAAGGGTCCACTGTATAAATAATGATGAAGTTTTAAGAAAAATGGAAACAAAAAGGACAATACTTAGAATCAGAAAGAGGCAGTTGAAATTTCTGGGACACATAATGAGGAAAGTGGGCTTGAAGAATTTAACACTCACAGCACAATGGGAGAGGAACAGAGGAAATCACTAAGTAACCTACTTAACAAGTAAATGGCTGACAGAACAGGGACTGAGAAGGATAGTGAAATGATAAAGCTTACTAAGAGCTACTAAAGATAGGAAGTTGTGGAGAGCCATCATCACTCACCTCATGGAGCATAGTTTCTTGCATTCAATTGCACACTAATAACCTTGGGAAAGGCATGAATTCATTTCTTCTCCACCCTGACCCAGATATGAATTAAATAGCAGAGTAAATTGGACTCTCTTGTCTTGGGTGGTAAACATTCTAGGATTTGATTTGATTTGTTTTTTATGACTTATCACTTTGTGCTTTATTTAAAGGTGGAGCACATTTTGCTTTGTAAGAATAATTCTTTTTTGTAATTGAATATTTTTATTAACATTTTTTAGAGAATAATCATGTTTTTTTTTCAGATACAAACCCTACTATTAAACCCATAGCTAAGGAAGAGATGAATTAATTTCTTCCCAATGAATATTTGCACATAAGTGAATGGAGCATGAAATCAGCTCTCCAATTTTTTTATTCTAAACTGCTACCATTCTAAGAAAAGAACTACTTATGTATTCAAAAGTGTGAGGGAAAGGAATGAGAAACCACTCCATTTTTAGCCCAAGAGATCATGGAATTTTGTATATAATAAATAAAAAGGATCTGTGGAGAGTTATGATTACCTACATCCTAAAGGGATATAACATTTAAAAACAAGAATGTCATATATATATATACATGTGTGTGTGTGTGTGTAATAGATAGGTTAGTTAATAAAATGAGGAACAACAAAAGTTTACCAATATAATTAGTACAATAAACATTTATTAAATATTAATTATTAACCATATGGCAAAAATGAAGTATGGAAAAAAAGGTTTTAAGTTCAGAATTTTCAGACATGCCTGTGTTCTTCATCAGCGGACTGAGAAATAAACAGAGAAATAGGAATTACTCACAGATTGATATGTTTGTAGACAGCAAATTTTCTGGTGGAAATATTGTTAGCATTTTTTCTAATTTTATATATATATATATATATATATATATATATATATATATATATAATATTAGTATTAATAATTCTATATGTATGTTTTTTTCCTTTGCTTAAAAGAAAGTGGATAATTCAAGAAAGTTTTATTTGACAAGTTTTTTTTTTGTATTTCTTATTTCAAATCATCCTTCCTTGATTTTAGAACTATCTTTGAAAAGACAATTCTTATAAATCAGATAGAATTGGTTAGTGGGTGGGTAGAGGTACCATGTCCAAACAGAAGATGATATGAAGTCACAGAATCTACAATTACTCTAACGTTTTGTCAACTTCTTTCACAACCCAACCCCCACCATTTATTCCAATACCTACTCCAGGGATCAAGTTTGCAATCAACTTTTTCATCCCAGATCTTCCTTGTTCTTTCAGCTTGCTCCCACCAAATACTTACATCCTTTATTTTAATTTAATCTTTTTTTTATTCTTTTTTAAGTCATGTAATAGAGTGCGACCATATGGGTGAGAGGGAAACAGAGGCAAGATGGGCAGTGCTTGGGTGATCAGTAGACAACCAGGAGCATTACTTTGTCTTTTTGAATAGAACAATTGCTCACCTGTCAAATGTGACAAGCATAGTCTCCATTGCAGAGGTTTGGAAAATCAGACATTTTAAATGGCTCAAGTATCAGCAGCAGGATGTGACCCACCTTACCTTTCTTCTAGGCATCTCCACCCTCCCACTGCTGGGTCTCTTCCAACACATCCCCAGCAACTACCAACAATTGAATGAAGTTATTTAAACACTTGGATGCTGGCAAAAGATTGTAGTTCTTATGGTGCCATGTTTAAAGTCAGAAAATAGTTAAGACCCTCTGGAGGACCACACACTATACCTCCTTAAATCACAATCTGTTCATTATTAATTTGAATAAGGGCTTGCAGCCAAATAGTTAGGTTTTGAGTTGAGAACAATATATAAGAGAAATTCTCAATAAATTCTACCAGCCAATGTTTGAGCAAATGTCACTGATGAAGACAAAGGTGGGTTTATAAGTCTACTGTATAACACAAAATTATTGGCTGAATTTCTATCTAAAATTTTCAATGTATAATGTTTGATTTATGCAATTAATAATCATGGTTGAATTATGAACAGTGAAAAAGAGATTATGCTTAAAAATCACTATTTACATTATTCGGACTATTGTCTTCATCTCTGTCGCCATATTTATGACAATGTTTCGGCTGTTGTATGCTCCAGCTTTCTTCAGGTGGTTGGAATGTCGAACTGAAACCTTTATTTCGCTCACTGGGGTAGACTGTTCTAGTTCTTCGTGTCATGTTTAATGGATGTCAGTTATCAGTTATTGCCTATTAATCCTCCTCTCCAAGTTCTCTGCTGCCTTAACCAGGTATTGAACTCACACTCTTTGGGTCCTGTCACTGGATCTAACACCTTTATCCACTGTGCCATGTGTCCTTGAGGAAACGTTGTAATAAATATGGTGACAAAGATGAGGATAGAAGTTCGAATAATGTAAATAGTGTACATAATACCTCATCGCAGAAATATAGACAGATGCTTAGAAATATTTGCTGAATAAATTATTATTAGGTTGAAGACTTATTGATGTATCATTGTGTATTTGTGTGTGCATGTGGACAGACAAATGGATCTGAACAGACTAAAATAGATATTAACAGGTTGAAATAGATAAATAGATAGATAGATATGAACAGGATGTATTTGTGTGCATGATAGAGAGAGAGAGAGAGAGAGAATTGAAGATAGATAGATAGATAGATAGATAGATAGATAGATAATGAAAGAATAACATGGAACAGATAGATATTATTATAATTAGGTGAAGTCTTATTGATGTATCATTGTGTATTTGTGTATGTATGTGGACAGACAGATGGATCTCAACAGGCTAAAATAGGTATTAACAGGTTGAGATAGATATATATGAACAAGATGTATTTGTGTGCATGAGAGAGAGAGAGAGAGAGAGTTGAAGGTAGATAGACAGATAGATTGTCATGAACAGACTGTAACAGAGAAAAAGAAAGAACGAGAGAGTGTGGTGAAATACAAATGCACAGACAAACACAAAAAATACTGAAAAAAACTTCCACTAATGATAAATGTATAAAAAGGAAAAAAATCAAAAAAATATACGCACTAAATTGCTGATACCCGCCAAGGAGTGAACGGACAGGTCCAGCTATGAAACTCTAGAGTAAGGATGGTGAAGGTAACATTAATCAGCTAAGTGACAAATTTTTACTCATATTAATCCTATATATATATATATATATATATATATATATATATATATATATATTTTGACAGTTACTCAAAACTTTTAAATTTAAGATTACTCATAAATATTCAGCAGGTTAACTGAAAAGATTTAGGCATTACTAGATGACATGATATAGCATCTTTGAAAGTAAATTTTAAAATTTAAAGATGCTCAATAACAGGTTAACTGAAATGTCTAGTCATTTAGACCTTAGAATATGTCATTTAGAAAAAAAAAAGAAGAAAAAGTTTTTTGGGTTGAAATATGAGATGATGTTTGTAGTATACATCTCTGAAAGCTGGAATGATGGATTCAGACATTTTCTTTTGATTTTTCAACACATTTATTGTGCATGTTGGCTTTGGAAAGTAGTAATTTCCTTGGAAAAAATAGGGTGAGGATTGATATTTTGATAATATTTAATGGCAGCACTCTCAAGGATTTTTCTTTTGAGTAAATTATTTTCTCTTTTGATGAGTGTGGCATTTTTAAGATCAAAATTGTAGTTGAATTTATTTTTGTGTATGACTAGTGCATTTGTTAAATTATTATTTATAAGCTCTCTTTTGTGTTCTTAGACACGTTTTTTTTTGATTTCTGCTTGTTTCCCCAATGTATTGTGAGGGACAGTTAAGGCATTTTTTTATATATTCCTGCTTCTGAACTATTATTGATATATGTGTTTTTAGATCTTTATTATATTATATCCAGGATGGTTTTGGAAATATATATATATATATAGAGAGAGAGAAATAGAGAAATATAAGCAGGCTGAGAAAGAGAGATGGAGCTGGAGATAGATATGAAAAGTCTGTGAAAGAGAGACAGAGTGCTGGAGTATATATATATATATATATATATATATATATATATACCAGGTGTAACAACAAAATTGTCTAAATCATGTTATAGCATAATTGTCCATCCCAAAAAATGTTTAATATCTGAAAAACCATTAAACTAATTGAGTTTCTTTTTTTCTACATTTTCAGATAACATGTTTAGCTATCTTGATACTATTTGTCTTAAGAATCGCTGAAAAATCCTTTGAGTTATTCAGCTTGAAAGAGAACAGTTTAAAACCTTTTTGTGTCAGCTCCACTGTCTTTTCAATTGAACAATAGTGAGAGGAAAAAGATTATTCAGGCCTTCAGTAATGGTACCAACACTCATACTCTGGCTTCCATCTTCAAAATTTATTCAAGAACCATCCAGAGAACGGCGAATAAATTCTAAAAAGAAGGAACAGTAGAGAGGAAAAATGGATCAGAAGGCCTGGTTCTCTCTAAACTGTATAAAAAAATGCTTCGCTGCCTCCTGCTTTCTCACTTACTAGAAGACATTTTCTGTTGTTCCAGTTTTTAAGAATTCTGGTGAACCATCCAGCCTTTCCAACTGTCAGCCTATTAGCCTTCTATCCCTTTTTGGGAAATTCCTAGAGGCCCTAATGAATGCTGAATTGGCTCAGCATCTCTCATTGCAGGTTTTTTCTCAGACAAGCAATTGTACTGAAGTATTTAGCATTATAGAATAGAAAAAAAAGGCTATCCTTAAAAGTGGCTAAATGTATGTAGGTCACAACAGGAAGAGGGATCATCATTTCAACTTAGAGCTAAAGAGATCAAGTAGAAAAGATCCCTCTCTCTAGTGCAATGAGAAGGCATGGCCTTAGGCAGCTGTTCCCCAGGGCTGGGCACCTCTCAGTATAATTTTCCTCAGTTGTGACTCTGTCCTTTGATGGAGTTACCCCTGAGTGCACTCTGCCCAAAGACAGAGATGCAACTGAGAGATGATAAATAGATGTGTGACAAACTAGGTATTTACTAGGTATCTCCTCACTAATACGAGTTGTGACACAAGGTCTTTTTTTAAGGTAGGGACCCGAACGCATACACCCAGACCAAGAACAAAAATTGCCTGCAGCCCCCCCAACTGTCAGTCGCACTGGCCTTGATGCGAGCACTGATCCCTCTCTCTGGTGCAATGAGAAGGTGCAGCCTCGGACAACTGTTTCCCAGGGCTGGGCACCTCTCAGTATAATTTTTCTCAGTTGCAATTCTGTCCTTTAATGGAGTTACCTCTGAGTGCACTCTGCCCAAAGACAGAGATGCAACTAAGAGTGAGTATCCGAGCACGTTCATTACACACTAAAAGATCAATATCTGAGTTATATATTATATAGTTCTTGGTGATATCACTTTTCAGGTTTAACTAATTTGCATATTGATTTTAAAAAAGTATATTTCATTAATTAACTGCCCTTCATTACTGTTCTTTTATTAGAGGATTGTTTTGATTTCCCTGTCCTGTTTAGGAATATTGTCTTACATAGTGCAGAAAAGTGTTTGAAATTTGCATTTTACTTGGCCTTCAACAAGTTGGCATCTATTTGTAAAACTTTCCTTAACTATAACAAGCCTGCCCCAACATCCAACCAATTAATTTCTTCTGTCTTTACAGTTATATTCTTTGAACAAATATATTGAACATCCACAACCCCTTCAACATTTTATAAATAGTGAACATTAATCGCATAGAAAAACTACTAATTTTTCCTTAAAATATACAATTTAATCAAAAAATTATTAAATAAATCAAAATTAAACTGATCCTGACTGAAAGTGAGTTGTTAGAGAAAAAGTTAAAAAACAGGAAGGAAGCAAAAACAAAGACATTAGAATAATGAATGACAGAAAAATAAGAATTTACAAAACAGAAATAAAAATGAAATCTTTATCATGGAAAATAGACTAAGAGCTTATATTGTAATATAAGTAATCTCAGAAATAAAATAATAGACCATGAATGCTTTATAAAAAATTAAAATATTAGTAAGATAAGAATTAAAGAGCAAATGACATAATAATGTTGTTTTTTGGCGTATTTTTTTAACGTCAAAAAACGACATTATTACGTCATTATTTTTGCACCAACCTAATATTTAAATTTGAAAAAAACAATGAGCTATTATTTTCCATGAACACACACATTTGTGTTCAGGCAGTTCTGTAATGAGAATGAATTTAGTCTGGACTTAAATGACTGAGAAATTAAAGAATGGAAATGACATTGTCATTAACCTTTTTGGTCCCAACAACTGATTCTATATATTAAACATATGGCTTTCCACAAAGATGCTCTAAGGGCTTTCAAATCACTAAACAGAGGCAAATGAGACCTGATATGAAGGGCTGATCCAAGGAACTGCCAATATTGTCAAGTGGATTACAATTTGGATATGGGTGGGAGAATTTAGAGAATGGCTGGGGGTGAAAATGGTTTGTCTTATTTTGCCAATGTATTTGTTGTAGCTTGTTCAATAATTCATAAGAATTTATTCCTGTTTTTTTTTTTAATTTTTTGCTTTCCCAGAGATTTGGTGTTTGTTTTGAGAATTTTTGTATGTAAAAATACTTTTTTAAAATCCTGACATTTCATCACTTTATGAATATATTTATTCCTCTCTCTCTCTCTCTCTCTCTCTATATATATATATATATATATATATATATATATAAAATAGAATAAATATATTAATATATATATATATATATATATATATATATAAAATAGGAATAAATATATTAATATATATATATATATATATATATATATATATATATATATATAAAATAGGAATAAATATATTCATATATATATATAAAATAGGAATAAATATATTCATATATATATATATATATATATATATATATATATATAAAATAGAATAAATATATTCATATATATATATATATATATATATATATATAAAAATAGGAATAAATATATTCATATATATATATTCTCAATTGGTTCTGTTCAATAACAGATCAGAGTAAATTGGTCATTTATTTGTTTGTTTTAGACAAAGAATATATAAACACACAAATATGTATTGGGAGAGTTTTATATATTATGTTTTTAACTGCATTAAAGATAGACAAGTTGTTATAGAATTATATATATATATATATATATATATATATATATATATATATATATATATATATATATAATGGACAGATAGATAGATAAAGAAAGTGAGAAAGATTGAGAACCATAAGAAAGATTTGAAATGGAATTCAAGAAGTGAGAGTGATAAGTAAGAGAAAAAATAAAATAAAAATAGCCCACCTGATTTCATTTATTTTTTCTACTGTCCATCTCCTTTATAATATGTCTCTAAACACAGACATGTGTATGTCTGTGCTTTCTTATGGCTATAAGTATATTTAGTGGGTATACTTACTTAAATGTTTGTAAAGTTTCACACATATATACATACATAAATACATACATATATATAAATGTGTGTATAAAGTGATATACTCACTCACACACACACGTGTGTACATATGTCAGTGGTATTCTTAGGAGATTAAAAAATACAGAGAAAATATTTGTCGCTTGATATGAAGTAGCTTCAAGTGCTGTCTTATTATTTTCCAGCAAAAAATCATCAACCAAGGATAATTCTTTTGTAAAATACAAAAAATAAAAAAGAATGAAATTAAAATATTTAAATAAAT